ATCCTAAAACTCTAAATTTTTTATCAACTTAAGAAATTTTACCTAAACTACAGAAAGTATAACAGATATTAATGCCTTATAAATGTGCATAACCCACTTCTTCTAGAGTAAGTAAATCTGGTTCCCATTTCAGTGTTTGAAAATGAAAGCGGTTTGGACAGAGGAGGCAAATGTAGAGGTATGAGAGGTTCTTTTCCTATCTAGACTAGTACATGTTTTTAAAGCATATGCTGAGGCTCCAAACACAATAGGACAGAACCTTCAAAAAGTCTTGAGAATATCGCCCTTTAAAGAGGTAAATCAAAGTCCATGTCATTCTAATTCTTATTAAGAATAGTCTGTGCATCCTCGGTTAGTTTAGCAGTATATATGTATTTTATTATTTTTGAACGAGTTATAAGTAAAATAATACGAGTTATAAGTAAAATAAGTAAAATGTCAACCTAAAACAATTTAAAAGTGTAGTATGTATTTAGCTTCATTATTTATGGCATGTACTCTTGTCCTGTCACCCCTCCCCTCCAAGTACAACTAAGTATGTCTTTCCTCCATAATATTCCATTAATGAAATTTTTCATGACAAAAGAAATTCATGCTATGGACTATAAAATAGGGGTGTTATTTTAAAACTGGATTTTAATTGCCTCCTATTCTAGTCATGGGTTTGTTGTACCAAGTCCAGTAGCCCCTAGCAGGGTTCTCAACCTGTGGGTCGCGACCCCTTTGGGGGTCGAACGACCCTTTCACAGGGGTCACCTAAATACATCCTGCATGTCAGATATTTACATTACAATTTAAAACAGTAGCAAAATTACAGTTATGAAGTATCAACGAAAATAATTTTATGGTTGGGGGTCACCACAACATGAGGAACTGTATTAAAGGGTCGCGGCATTAGAAAGGTTGAGAACCACTGCCCTAGAGGGAATATAAATTTAGGCAAAGTGGTCAAGGGATAAACAAGTGTTGCAGAAGAGATGGGGAAAAAAGGAAAACTTTATCTTGGCCCTAAATTACTAAATCATGATATTTCTTTAGTCTCTTAATTGTTTTCCCCAATGTTTCTCTTTTTTCTTTTTTTCTTTTCAGCCCTGAACTTCTCTTAGGTACTCTGCCTTATTAACTTGCTACAAATTGTAAGCCTAACTTAGAATTTGTACTAATCCCAATTATATGAACTTTTCAACAGATTTATATCTTCTAATGCTTGTTACTTATCTCACCTAAACTGTTGGGTTTTGTTTGTTTTTTCATGTTTTCCACATATAGTCTTCTCACATTATTTACTGTTACAAGATTGAAATAACACACTGTTGAAGAAGAGAAAAACATTTTTACCCATATTCATGTTGTTAGTAGCAGCTTATCTTCACATGTATTTAAAGACTCCAAAGAGCCATTGAAACTCTTATTTACTCTAAACAATAGTCCATACACTCCTGAGTCAGCAGGACAGGTATTATTCTTTCTATTATACAGATGAGAAAACTGAGACTTTGAGACATTGCATAAGGCAGTGTCAGGATTCATAGAAATTTAGAGCAAGAAAAAGCCTAATGAAAATTTTACTTTGAGGAATTTAAGGTTTATCTATAAAAAGTTATTTTTCTGAGAACACCAAACTTAAATTATTTAAGTTGCAGGCTAGAACTCAAATTTCCTAATCCTTAATATATAGTACTTTTTTATTTTCCCAAGGAAAAAAAACTGTTACAGTACAAACACTCAGTATTTTAATTTTGGTTGGAGATAGAAGGTAAGCATATAATACAGCTGCCACATTAGTTCTCAAGGAAGTTGGTCATGTACATAAAATGCGTTCATATATTTGTTGTATTTTTTTCTGTGATTTAAAAATTAAATTGAAGGTGGTAATCATACCAAAAAACCTCCTTTTCCCATCTCCCTTTTATCATTTTGTAAAGTTATTAAAAAGAAAGAAATTATAGAAATATTTAAGAATAAATTCAGCTTACATATATAACAGAATCAGAAATTGAATCTTAAACTTAGTGACTATTTTCTTTTAATCCTAATTGAAAGTTTTTCTGGCATGTTTTTTCTCTTCTCCTTAATTGAGTTAAAGATCGTTTATGGCTTCTATCTGTTATTCTGTATATCTGTTAATTTTCATTATTTAATAGTTTAAATGTAGAGGTAGGTTGGTCTGAATATATTGATTTCAGGATATATTTTAGGTGCTTGTTTCTAGTGAATCTCAGTTTGAGGGTATTGTTTAAGGGAAGAAATTTGGTTAATTGTAGCTAGTTGGAGTTTAGAGAACTGAAGTTTGCTGTATGCAGTTCTTTATTTAGTAAGTGAGAAAAATCCTTATAATTTTATAACTATACTGTATGAACAACCTGATAAAGCTCTGAAAAAGAAATAAGGCCTAGGAGATGAAGAATATATGGAGGATTTTAAATTGAGGATTTTTCTGAGCTAGGTTCTAAAATAAAATAGTAAATTGTGGCTAGTAGGATGAAAATAGTTATTAACCCTCCTGTAAGATCTGAAATAATATTGTTGCCCTTGAGAAAAGTAGGCATTACAGTGTAATGATACTACTCGATCTACTTCTTTTGTCAGCCTAAGTAAGAAGAAATTTTCTGTTTTTCTTTAACACATGCCTGTTTTTAACATAGAGTTTCCTGTAGTTTCAAAGATGTCTAAAATATACCTTTGTGGGTGTGCATATTTGTCCTTACTTTGAAATCTCATAATTGGGCTCTAGATTCCAAAGTGATTTTTATATTTAGGAAAACCATTACCTCCCGAAGGTTTTCTTAGGAGAGTGAGGAAAACAAGTGTAAAATTTCATTGTAAATACCTTGTTGTTAATATGCTTGGAAAATTATATTCATAGTAAAAATGGTCTCAGTGTTCTGATTAAAATTTAATGATGGATGATAGATATTGTAAAGCCAAAGGAATTAAAATACGAGGGACATTTTGAGAAAATGGCTTGGTCATATATATATCTAAATATATATTTACTAACATATTTTGTCAGAAACCAAAATTGAGGGAAGAGATTTGGCTTTTTGTTAGTTTGTGAAATTGATCAGAGATTGCCCCTTGGCTTAGTTGCTGTCTGCATAGGCTGTTAACAATTGTTTCTCTGGCAGCAGATCTTGTTCATCAGGATTGCATCATTTCTGGGAGAACGGCCAAGGTCCACAGCCTCAGTACAAAGACTGTCTGAAGCATATGAAGCCTGTTCTCTTTCTGAAGCAGCACTCCTCTTCCTGCCAGTCCTCTTCACAGGATTACTGAAGCAGACTTGTTCTGAATTTTCTTTCATTGAATTGTCTGTTTATTGGACTCTTGTCTCCCAGCTGCTTCCGGCTCACCTGGCTGATGCAATTTCTTTCTCTAAATCTCTGTTGGAATTATTCTTAAAACACTGTCTTCTGAGAGTAACCAGACAGATCACACAGGTCTTGTGCTTTCAGCAAGTAAAGTCATATAGGGAAGAGACTGTCATAATGACAAATACAAAGACTTTTGTTTTTTTGTTTGTTTGTTTTTTACAAATACAAAGACTATTGACCATTTCTGAACACAATTAAAAAGATAGGAGTAATTATAAACTATTTCTGGCATGTTCTGTTTAGTAGCCTGTTCCCAAGAACCTGTATGTAAATGGTGACTTCTCAAAGGAGTAGTCAGTACTGGGAGGCAGGCTGATTCTGCTTCTGAATTCGAGAACATACTAGTGTTTTTGTGGATTCTGACGGATTGTTCTGGAAATACTTAAATTGAAATGCATTCATTTTCCTCCTGCTGTGCACTCAGACTTATTTCTTTTTTTCCTTCTGTCATTTCCTTACCTTTCTTATTTATTGCTGCTAGAGGAGTCTATATCTGTTTTGAGTTCTTTGTGTGTTTTTGTTGTTGTTGTTCCTTTTACTGTTACCTTCATCCTTTTATTTTTGTAATTTCTAATATGTTCTTTGAATTGTTTCTACAGAATAGTTTCTTTTCCAATTTTTAATAAGTTGGAAATTCGTAAAATAACATAGAGTACATTTCCTTTCCTTGGTAACTGAAATACCATAACAGCTCTTTCACTTCTGGCTAATGTTACATTTCACTTTTTCCCCCAAAAAAGTCCTAGGTCATCACCTATTTCTTTTCCCTTTTTCGGAGGGTAGAAAGTTGATTACAGTTTTATTTTTCTATGTGTTTCTATTACGGAGTTGACCACAAATAGAAATTACTTTCATTTGTCAATCTTTTTCTGTAGTAGGACAAGAAGATATAAGTGGGATGGAATGGGGAGAGGAAAAGGAATAATATGAACTTATTGGGCCATGGCAGATTCTTGTATGACTGGAGAGTAAATTTGACATTTGGTTAAAGAAAAGCCTCTGAATTTGGAAAGGGGTCAGTGAAGAAAAGAAACAGTTCCTGGGAGAAAACGAAGGTATCCCTTGAGAAATGGGAGATAATTCTAATTTGAAGGAAAGAGAAGGAATATCCAGTGGCATAATAAAATATTTATCACTTAAGTTAAAAAAAAAATGATGTAAAGATTAAAGGATAAAAATATAGCACTAGAACCCCAGCCAGGTGGGTTAGTTGGTTGAAGCATCATCCCATATACCAAAAAGGTTACGGGTTTGATTCCTGGTCAGGGCATAAACTAAGTGGCTAGTTTGATCCCCAGGTGCAGCCCGCTGGGGCGAGACTGCAGGAAGTTGGCTCCAAGGCGTCTCCGGCCCCTCTCACCCAGTCCCACCCCACTGGCCAACTTCTAATTAATTTCCTTTCAATGTTCACGAATCCATGCACCGGGTCAGTAGAAAGACAAAGTTTCTTTCTCCCTCTCCCTCCTTCCTCTGTCTCTAAAATCAATAAGCATATCCTCAGGTGAGGATTAAAATAAATATATATAGAATGAGAGAGAGTACTAATTGGATCATAGGATGTTAAACAAGACAGTGTCTATCAATGTTATTTCTTTCTATACTAATTTGTGTCTCAACTTTTTCTAGGTCTTCAGAGCTACTGACATAATTTTTTGGGACTTCATATTCAGAGGTCTATAAAAAGGTGACTGAGCCAAATAAATTATTTTAATTTGTTTTATTTTTTTTGTATTTTGATGAATGATAAAATCATATATTGAGATAAGAATAATCAAAATTCATTCAGCAAATATTTTTTGGAAACCCTTTATGTGTTAAGCACTGTTCTGGACATTGGAACTACAGCGGGGGATAAAAGCACAAAAACCACTATGCTCATAGAGTTTATACTCATAGAGTTTATAGAGAGACAAATTAACAAGTAAGTAAAAAGTATCTTAAAATTGTTTCACCCGGAGACAGTGTTAATTCTTTTCAGTCTCTAGGACACATCTCCAAACTATGTAATAGATTAATAAATGCTATAACTACTAAGCTTAGTAAACTATACTAGGAATCTGTTGTCTTGGCTTATAAAACTAATGCCATTATTATAAGAAAATATTGCATATAGACTATCAAAATTAGCTGGGGTGGGATTTCATTAAGGAATGTATTAATTATTCATTTATTAGGGAGATACCTGAAGTAATTTTTTCATCTTTTCCTTTTTAGTATATATTTTAAAAATTATTCACAGAAAAATAACAACTATCAATGTAGATTTATAAGTTGTTTTTTGTTATTGTTTTTTTGATGTTAATCATCATCCAAGGATACTTTCTACTGATTTTTAGACAGAGTGGAAGGGAGGGGGAGAGACAGAGAGAGAGAGAGAGAGAGAGAGAGACATCGGTTGGTTGCCTCCCCCTTGGGCCCTGACCAGGGTGGGGATCAAGCCTGCAGCCAGGGTATGTGCCCTTGACCAGAATCAAATCCAGAACCCATCAGTCCACAGGCCAATGCTCCAACCACTGAGCCAGACCAGCTAGGGCTAAGTAGTTTTTTATCTAAAAGCCTACTATGTTTATAGGCATATAATAATGGCTGTGACAGAGGATTTTTAATGGTGCCCAGTAACTTTTTTTGTTGTTCTTTACTGAAAATATAATACATGATTCAGATTCCTGTATTGGTCAGGGAAGGTATGGTTATTATCAGGCTCTATTTTTGATTATCGAGCCAGGCAGTATGGGGACTTTTTTTTTTTATTTTTAATTCGAATTATACAGTGATACTAAAAGTAGCGAAAGTTGAGCCAACAATCCTCAGTATTTAATGTTTTGCCCTTTGGGCTTATTTGATGTGTTCTTCTATCATTGTAGATTTTTATTTCAATTTTCCAGAGACTGTTAAGGCTGTACTGCTTAAATCTCTGTCTGGATATATTGTTAGGGAAAGGAAACATTTATGTGTATGACGGGCTCAAAGGCAAAAGGTTATATTAGTCACTTTATGAGCTGTGAAGAAGCAATAGATAGGAAGATTTGCCCTTTCATTTTAGTCTCAAGTCTTAGCAATATGTCACCTTCTGTTGAGTAGAACCAGACCTATTGCCACATCCATATTTGGAGAGTCCTAGATCCATTGGAGAGATCAAGCTCTTGTAAAGTATAGGTGCCTGGGAGGACTGACTGCTCAATTGATAGTTATTCTAGCATTCTAAAATGACACAAAAGAGTAATACAGTTTATGCGTTCTTAAAAATCTTGGATTGATTCACTGTTCACAACTGGGTTTTTTACCCATATTAATTTGCTTCATATATCAAAATAAGATTGAAGCATCTCAGATTGTCTACCACTTAAAATATTGAATATTTTTCATGCCATATTTTTTGAAGTATAAATAATCGTTTGAATTTTCTACCATCTTCATTTACCATTAATCAGTATATCAATTATGACTCTTTGCAGTCTTTTTACAGAAATCTTTATCAATCTGGGTCTTTAACATGACTTTCTTTTTTTTTTAAATATATTTTATTGATTTTTTACAGCAAGGAAGGGAGAGGGATAGAAAGTTAGAAACATCGATGAGAGAGGAACGTCTATCAGCTGCCTCCAGCACACCCCCCACTGGGGATATGCCCGCAACCAAGGTACATGCCCTTGACTGGAATCGAACCCGGGACCCTGCAGTCCGCAGGCCGACGCTCTATCCACTGAGCCAAACCAATCAGGGCTAACATGACTTTCTTCCCACACAATATGCTTGTATTTCATCCTTTTAATGTTTTTGTTGTATTTAATGGGTTTTTTTTGCAATATAAAACCATTAATGTAAAATCATACAAAGGAAACTTTTTTCCCTTTGCGCCATATCTCCAAATACCTTAATCTACTTCTGCATTTTTACACTTCAGTAGTTTGTGAGTCTTTCTGTTCTCAAATTCCACTGGTTATTGTCACCAACTCTTAAGGTATCATCACTGCTTTTCCATATAAAATTTTCTGATCTTTATCATGAAGCTGTATTCTTCGTGGTTTATGTTTTTATTCATACCTTGTAATGGATGTTACCTCACAAATATAGTTGTTAAAATAAACGGCATCTTCTCCCAAAATTACAGTTAAAAATGGTTTTAAAAAAGAAAAGAGGCCTGGCTGGCATGATTGAGAGATTGAGTGTCGACCTGTGAACCAGGTCGACACTGTTCAGTTCCTGGTTGGGGCACGTGCCTGTGTTGTAGGCTCAATTCCCAGTGTGGGGTGTGCAAGGTGGCAGCCGATTGATGATTCTCTCTCATCATTGATATTTCTCTCTCTTTCCCTCTTCCTCTCCCTTCCTCTCTGAAATCAGTAAAAATAAAATTTTTTTCAAAAAAAGGAAAAGTGTGTTCTATAACAAAAGAAGGCAATAAGAAACAGCTGTGTCTAGTCAGATAGAAACAAACTGATCTCTTTTATCATATTTAATTTGAAAGAAATAACATTGGCTGCTGGAAAAACTACATTTGTTTGTGGTGGGCGGAGGGAGCAGTGTTTAAATGAAGATTTTGAATTGTCAAAAATTAAACTGACATTTCCATTAACCAGCCTATATCTTTAAAATTGTTAGGTCCCAGACTACTGGAAAATTTCGTTTGATGAGATGTCATACAGTGGGGGAAATGTGCTTATTAGTGAGCTGGGCAAACTATTACTTTCTCTTTATCTGAAAGGTGGAAAAATAAAATAGAAATGAAAAGAAAGCGTAACTGTTGCTACCTCATTAATGAAGTGCATAGTAAACATGGGACATGTGTAGATCTCTTGCTGTACTTATTTTATATTTATCCCTTTAAAAGGCTTATTCAAAAAGTAGAAAAAATGTTTAGGATAAATATAAAGAACTATCTGGTTACTAGATATTTTCCTTTGCTATGGCAGGATTCCTCATGTCCATAACATGTTGGTTGAGGCTCTACAGCTCACCCCCACTCTCAGAGTGGCCAGTCTCCATTAATTGGACCCCGTGATTTCCACTTTCTGCTGTGTTGGACGTCATGAGCATTGCAATCCCTCTGGGAGTCACCACACCAGATACATCCTACTCAGATATGGCTGCTGGATCAGAGTAAGTGCTACTTCCTAGTTAGTAGGTGAATTACCAGTTTGTGTGGAGACAACTTGTGGGCATCTAATAATAAATGTGTAGTATTTTCTAAATCCTAGCCCACTGTAAATGACAGTAGACCCTTTCTCCCATAGAAGCTGAATATGGGAGGGGAAAAAATGGGGAGGGGGGTTTCTAAGTAAATAATTAAATGGGATGAAATTTGCAAAGTATTGACTACATTTTTATTTGTTTTGATGGGTGGGGAAGATTGAAATAAAGTAGGTGTCACTACCTGCTTCTGTAGAATTGGTGGATGGAGATAAAGAGGAGTTCTCTCCAACTGATTTTCCTTGAAGGCCTCTTCCTATGTACTTCTCATTATTCTAGAGTAAAGGGGCTGAAACTTTATATGGGCAGGTTACTTAAACCTTATATGGGGCAGAAAACATGGAAAGTTAATGTCATCTGTTTTTTATAATATTCATTGCCTAGAAAGAGGACCTTCAAAATCAGTGGTACCAAACTTTTTTTTCAGCTAAGAGCAGCTTTAGGAATTCAGAGTTTGTCGAAAAGTCCAATCCCTAAAATAGACTCTCAATTCTTGAAGAATTTAAATGCCAAATGGCAATAAAGGTAGGCCTTCGTTATAAAACTTTATATATTATTCACAGTTTAAAAGATTTTAGCCTTTTGTATCCCTTCTCTTTTAAGTGTCCGAGATTCCCCCTGCTCACAGATTCCCCCTCTTGTCCTTTTACCTCCCTTGTACCCAATCTTCCTTGCTTACAGAAAGGAAGTGGAAGCCCCCTACCTTTCAAGACGAAGTGGCACTACACAAGGATGTGAAAGTCCAGCGAAAGAGACCCAAGGGGCCTAGGGGGCAGCACACCCCCAGAAGCCAAGTCTATTCCAGGCAGTACCAGGGATTAGGGTCTGGGCTGGAAAAATCCTGGTGTTTTGAATATGTTCAGGTCCAGTTCAGACTCTTGATCCCACAGCCACTTCTAGAGTGAGGTGGGTGTTGCTCTAATTCCCCTGTTTCTCTTGCCATTTTCATAGTCCCCGGGGATTCTCCCCCTTCAGCAAAGAAAAGCAACTGTACTAGAACTCTGGGTTCAACTGCATCCCTGGTTAATAGTGGTTTTCTTCCTTAAAACTGAGAATATTAGTAAAGAGCATGTATATTTCTTCATAAAGTCACTTAGGATAACTTAACTGCTTACTGACTTCCTTAAAGAGGAAGGCTTAAAATGAAGCTACTCTAAGCAGCAATGTATTATTATATTCTGGGGTAGTCTAGAATTTAACGCAGTTTTGGCCTTATTCCCATATAAAATGAAAGATGGAGGGTGGGAGATAGAGAAGGGTGGATAGTGTTTCTTCCATGCCCCCCCCCCCCCCATTTTGTTGTGGTTTTTTTTGTTGTTGTTTTGGGCGGGGGGGGGTTGCATGCTAAAGAGATTTCGTTATGCCAATAGCCAAGGTTTCCAATTTTATAACTATTTCCCAAGTAAGATACTTAAAAATATTCCTGTATTAGTAATTGGTTGCATAGTATTAATAGATCTTTATAAAGTTAGCCACTAGCCTCCTATATGGATTGACTAGCAAACTATTAGGTAGACAACATTAACATTTATGAGAAATTTTAATAAAAAGATTAAATCCATGAGTTTGGGATAAGTAAATAAGAAAAATACCAAAAACAGTTATTCTTAAAACTGGTGTTTTCCCCAGAGTGCACAGATGACTGCCCATAAATGTTGCTAGGGAGTCCAGAAGTAATTGCAGAAAGAAGAAATACTTCTGGCATAAAAAATTTGCCTACAATGTTTCTATTTTTTGAGACATTTCATTCACAATCTCCAGGCAGATTGTTGATAGTGCGATCATAACTAATTAAACAATTATTTGTTTGGTATTTCTACAAAGCAAGAGAATGTCAACAATTAGCTTATATGCCATTCTGTTAAATTATTGTTGCCTATTTTAATGCTTCATCATGCATATTTTACTGTCATGCATATTCTATTCTAGGCACTGGTATGAAAATTAAATCTGGTATGGAGGGCAAAATACTCAATCAAGAAAAAGACCTAGATTTTACCTCATGCTTTTTTTAAGCTGATAACAACATTATGCATTATCCATTTTTCATATTTTTGTAGGAGGAAAAGTCTAGATGTAACAAAGGAAGAAAAGATTTTTCTGAATGTATAGTCTTGCCATAAATGCACTTCAGACATTTCCCAAGAGGTAGCATTATAGCAGCAGATTGCATATTGTACTTAGAACACAATTGATGGAGTGTATCTGTTGTAAGCATGGGTTCTGTGTATGTGCCCAATTGTCAATTTAAACATAAGGGGGGGAAAAGGCTATAGTTACATTTGCATTAAATGGTTGGCTAATAAAGAGATGTAGTCCTAACACTAAGTTTTAATCCATTTAAATTATAGATAAGAGCTGATATATACATCAAGGAATATCCTAAGAAATATCCTATATTTACCTGTCAACATGTAACTGTATTGAATCACTAACCCGTATGGAAATTACAATGTTTCCTCATCAAAAGATATGGGCTTAAATTTTAGTATTTGGCATGCATAGCAATATATTAAATGCTGTGCTTGACTAGAAAGTATTGTGCAATGGGGTGGCCTTTTAACCTCCAAAACATACATTTTATTTTTATTCCCTAGACTTGCACATGAATTGCATATGTTCATATTTACCCAGTTTGGAGATGGGTAAGGTAAAACCAACATAGTTACATCTCCATGGCCATCTTTTATTTCATGTCACTTTCCTTCTCCCCACCCCCCAAGAAAAACAAAACTACACAGGTCATTCCTAATAAACAGCTGTCATGTTTCACCCCATGTGTTCAGTGGTACAAAATCTCTTATATAAAATATGTACAGCTCTTTGGAATACTTGTTTATCAAGTAAATTAATGTTGTATAAAATTACTTTCTCTTGATTTTCCATCATAGAAACTAAATTCTGCCTTCATTTTATTAATGCTTGTCTACCTTTGGTTTCATTTAGGAAACCCCACCTGTTTCCTAATAATCAGAGCTGATTGCCTTCCAATGAGCCATGTTCAGATCATCTTTTTCTCGAGTATACTGACCTGCATTCTTGATTTATTCCCTCCCAGTTCCCATCTTGCAGACACTCTTTTAAAGTAATAAAATGCATGCACTTCACTAACAGAGAATACTTTCCTGTGTCTAAAGTTCTTCTTTACCTAGAAATTACCTTTGCTGTTATTAATAAGATCCCTTCTCACAGTTTTGGAGCATATGATTGGGTGAGTTGGATACATATATCAGAATTTTCATTTATCCCTCACTTCTCAGCTGACATTGTGCCACATTGAACCTCACATTTTATTCCTGCCAAGTACTATATATTGTGTATTTTTAATATATTGAAATAAACATATTACTTGAGGCAAACAGTATGCATTATTTGATTCCCTAAAAAGCCCTTTGATCTCTAAGGCTGAGTTATGCATGGTGTCCTTGGAGTTTCTAATTTGTGAGTCTCTGTTCTGGTTAATTTAAATAAATGACATAATCTATTATTCATTATGCAAAGTCATACAGTTGCATTAATTATCTTTCAAAATTCTGCCAAACATAACCACTAAAGTTTTTTTCCCCCCCTAAAACTCACATTTTATCCTTTGCCACCTATGCCTTTTTATTATCAAGTAAAGGTTTATGTTGAATTTCTAAATTTGAACACATTTATAATTCTTTTATATTAACAAATTGTGCCTGAACTGTTTATTTTCCACTCACGGAGGGTACTAAAAGATACTGAACCAAGCTGCTCACTAAGCCTGGTTACTGGCTTGGGCTTAGTCAGACATTGTTTCAAATCCTGGCTCTGTGTAAACTCCTACCTGTTTACCCTTCTGTAAATAAGGGGTTCTATTTACTATGTTTAGTAGTTGTAGAGTAAATGAATTAATATATATATACAGTACCTAGAAAATGGGAAATTCAGATTGGTAGTCACTGTTGCTGTTGTCATTAGACTAACAAAACATCTCAGTAGAGTTTTGATTATTTTGAAGTTCTATTGTATTATCATGCAGCTATAAGATAATTGTGTCCTTGATATGCTTGCATGTCATTGGTGGATGAGAAGTTATTACTCTAATATTTGAAAGGTGTTTGGGGGTTCATCAAGATGAGAGGTATAAATATAAGATGCCATTGTTTTTACCTGTACTTTCTTCAGGGTATCCAGTCTTGGTAGTGAATGGAAGAGGGCCTGGTCCCTGGGGCAGTGCAGAAGGCACTTTCATCATCTCACTCACTGCAAATGTCATGTGAGGTTTCATGGAAGTATTAAGAGATCCAATTAAGAAGAATAGTTCTGAGTCTAAAGCAGCCCAGAGTGGCTTCTCTAGGGGAAACTCCCTGCTCAGCTGGTACGTTTGTGTTTGTCATTAGGGACACCTTGTATCCCAGGTGCCTGCCTTGAGACATCTGCCTGTACTGGCTTCATGTTACACACAAATCCACATTTAATAACACTCGTAGTGTTATTTATAGGCTTAGTTATGTTAATCAGATTATTTCACTGAGTTCTTTATTCTAGTAGCTGGTGGTTGTGGAAAGAGGAGGGGTTAGAATGGGAAGTTAAGTTTTAGTTTAAGGGAAGATTAGGTGTTATGCTATCATGCATTGCTTTTCGCCTTTGTGCAGCCCTGAATCTGTGGAGGCTAGTCCAGCAGTTAATGAGAAGAGCGTGTATTCCACTCATAATTATGGGACCACTCAGAGGCATGGGTGTCGAGGACTGCCTTATGCTGTGAGTATGCATTTGTTTCTCTCCAAAGCAGTGATCTTCCTGGAGTGTAATCCATTCTTATACATTGTGACTTTCTTGCAATGTTTATATGCAGCATGACGAAGTTGCCCCTTTTGCACTTCCCTGCCTCCAGCGGACGTCTAGCCCTGCATCATTGTTCTTGTTTTTATGTCCCAGTTGACCTTGGCATTTTGTTTTATCACTTTCCTGGTTGAAGCCAAAAAACGAAGGGTACTACTTTCTTCTTTCTTTCCATATGTACCATACTTTAGGGGAGAGAGGGGCCAGTGTTTGGACACTGTTGATTTAAAAAATCTTATTTTCAGGATCATAATTACGGAGCCCCTCCTCCTCCGACACCTCCTGCTTCTCCCCCTGTCCAGACGATCATCCCTCGTTCTGACCTGAATGGCCTGCCGTCGCCCGTAGAGGAACGCTGTGGAGACAGCCCGAACTCTGAAGGAGAGACTGTTCCTACCTGGTGTCCTTGTGGTCTTTCTCAGGATGGCTTCCTTCTCAACTGTGACAAGTGCAGGTAATATCATGTTCCATCTAAATTCAAGCCTGGGTTGCTGGGATTAGGGTTTCTTATTAGTAGGGAAAAGCTCAAAGTATTCTTTCTTGTGTTTGTTAATGTAGATGATTCCTTAGTGCTCCTTGGCTCGAATTCTCTGCACTAGGTGAGAATTGCTGACAACAAGGAATGAGAGATTGATGTTAAAGCTATTGAATTTGATATGAAATTTAATGTCCTGGAAACTTTTGGTAGGTGGGAGGAAGGGGGTAGTGTATACAGAGACACATCTCCCATGTGTGCGATGATGTGCTGCATGCTGTTGGAAGGACTACTTTAAGTTTATTTTCCATCTTTAGGGGAATGAGCAGGGGGAAGGTTATTAGACTTCATCGGCGGAAGCAGGACAACATATCAGGTGAGCAGAAGATGGGTTATGCCCATATTTTGACATAAAATATTTTGTATTTTAAGTATTTGTCTAAACCCCTTTTGTAAGTTCCCATGGTCCCTAGCTCATTTCACGGAAAGAGATAGAAGTCCTCTGAAAACCACTGTGTAATTCTCTTAATGTCCATAAATGACATTTTAGCTCTGTAGCAATCAAAATATTTTTTGTGAGCACAAAAAATCAGATCCTTTTTCTATGTTACATACTGAAACAATGGAGCTTTGGGACTGATTATCAGGGGAGAAATATATACAATATAGAACAGTTTATTTGCTTACTGCCAATGATAAAGAATCTTGTTTTCAAATGGGAAGCGGGTATTTATGTTGTTTTACAGATAGAGTTAGCAGTAGAAGTAATGACTTACTGGATTATGGAATAAATCTATCAGAATAAGCTGCTTTAATATACTTTTGAATATTTATATAATGTGAACTATGAAATAACCTTTTCAGGTGGGGACAGCAGTGCAACAGAAAGCTGGGATGAGGAGCTTTCTCCTTCCACTGTGTTGTATACAGCAACACAGCACACACCTACAAGCATCACCTTAACTGTTAGAAGAACCAAACCCAAGAAGCGGAAAAAGAGTCCAGAAAAGGGTCGTGCAGCACCAAAGACAAAGAAAATCAAGGTATGGAGGGTAAAGTATCTTAAATAGAAATATGTCTGAAATAGCTCAAATTTTGGACCAAGAATGCACCAAAATTCTTTTAAGAATTTGATCCAGATGTTTGAAGGGCCACTTTTGCTCTACTTGCAAAAATCGGCTAATCTGTTGTCAACATGTAGACCAACCTCTCTTCTGCCACTCCATACCATCACAACTGGCACAAAGTTTCTTCTCCTCCAAGCCCCATCCCAGGTATGAAATCCTAGCCCCACCTGGTAACAAGCCCATATGTACTACACCCTCCAGTCTAGGCTTCCACTATCCTTACAGTATCTCCCTGCCTCCTCAGCCCAAAGTAGTCTGAAATTCTTGTCCTGGTACATGCCTACTTCATGTCATTGGATTGATTTATTTCCTTGTTTCAAAAAGTTAGGAAATGTCTCTTGAATGGTTTAGGCTTCCTCAGTGTTGTGGTCACTTTCCTGTATTCTAGGAGAAACCTCTTCTGTTTTGTGTTCTTTCTTCCCCATCATGGCAACTTTGTTGCTCCTAGGTGACTTGCCCATCCCTTGCTAAGGGGATTGGTCTTTGTTTCCTTCTTAATTTCAAAACTGGTAAATCTGCCACCTTACTTAACGTTTTAATTTACTTTTTCTTTTAGTGTCAGGTGTGTATATAGGATTTAAGTGATGCATGCTCTTCCCTGTTAATTACCTAGTTTCACAATGGGAAGTACTGGAGTTAGCCGCAGAGTTCACTCTCCTTGAGCTACCCCCTATTCTTGATAATAGTGTGGGGAATTCAGTTATATTTGTTACCTAGGGAAAAGGGGACAGGCTAGAACACTAGTTCTTGCCTTAGTTTTAGTCTCAGATAGGTATAACTGTCATTCTTGGTACCAAGTTTTGTTTTGTTCTACTTGTTTTCCTCTTTGGGATAGGCATTTCGAGAGGGATCCCGGAAGTCCTTGCGGATGAAGGTAAGGGGTATTCTTCCCTGATGCTGTGTTTTACTTCACTGTGATCTTGCATTTTGGTTAGCTTCTTTCCTGACATTGATGGTCTGGGAATCTTGGATTCTACTTTTTGTTAGTTTGTAATTGTTGCCATTGGTTTTCATAGAGCCTTTCTCCAACGTAGATTTTCTTGGCCATTTTCTGAAATATTTTCTCTTTCTGTAATTAGCTTTCATTTGTTGGTTTTTCATTAGCTGCTTTTCTGGGGGTAAGTGACATTTTGCCAAATAAAATGAGGCAGATATGTTCTGTTATTGTGTTTGGCCTCAACATCAGGACTGAGGTTTTTCTGGTAAAATAAGATCTGTTGTGTACCTACCCTAGGACCATGTGGGCTTTAGTCACCAGTTGGGAGGATAATTTTCATCAGTAGGAGAGTGGTATTTATTGATAGGAACTACTCTTATTGGAATTACTTACATTTGAACTGTTTTCTTCTGGCATATTTATTTGATATAGAAGATTCCGATGGCTGATGTGTTTCTTTTCTTCGGTTGTCAAATAAAAGAGCTTATGAGGCATGATTTTGGATAACAGTTGGAGAATAGAGAAATTATGTGCAATGGACTTTAGGTACTGGGTGACAAAAACAGAATTTGCCCAAAGGAGATTTGATTGTACTATCTGGTATTTCCCTATAAGTATTCATATCCCTAAACATATAAATGATATAAAAGCAGAATCTTTCCTGTTGACCGTTATATGGGGAAAACATTAAAATATTTTAGTGAAGATAAGCTTTATTAGGATATATATTTGTGTGTGTGTGTGTATATGTATATATATGGAGTACAACATGACTGATGTTAACAAAGATTACAGGTGGCACTTTATCTAAAATTTGAAGACCTTGCCTTGTATACACCTATAAATAGACTGGTACATATCTATAGAAGAGATGGGAAGAAGACTTAGAGCCCAAGAGCATCAGAGTCTTGAGATACCTTAGAACACAACTTAATTATTATCTCCTTCAAAGGGCCAAGTTTGCTTTAACTGCCCCTTTATTTTTGTCTCCTTTGCTTACAGGGAGCCTTTAAATAGAGTTATAGGACAGACAAAGGCTTATCCTAGCTGTTAAGCCCTTTTCTATTTTATCAGCTATTATAATTTGTCTTTAGAGATTTGAAATGTTTTGAAAGCTGTTGACCAACTCTCCAGAAAACTACACATAAACCCCAAATATTGCTTGTTATTTCGACATGTTGACACATAGTCCCATAAACATGCTAAAATTTATACAATTAAAAAAAACTAGTCAGTTTATTTTAATTCTCATACCAGAATTTTAAGTTGAGTTGCAAATTTTGTACTCAGAATTCATTATTAAGAACTTCACCAAAGATCTGGGTGATGGCTATAAGAATGGGAAGAATCTGTCATTTGGATTTTTAATCCTACAGTCAGGCACTTTCCTACTTGGAGACTAAAAATTTCTCAACTTTGACACTACTGACATTTTGAACCAAGAAATTCTTGGACTGTTGAAGGGAGCTTTTTTTGCATTGTAGGCTGTTTAACAACATCCTTGTCATCTACGCACTAGTACCAATAACACATAGGTGTGATAATAAAAAATGACTTCAAATAGTACCAAATATCTCCTTAAGGGCAAATTACCTCTGGTTGAAAACCACTGTTCTAAACCTACTGAGATAGGGTGCTCAGTACCCAGAAGAATGGGACAGCAGATTAGACAGAGTTGTATCAATGAATAACATATGATTCTGTAGCAAAGGCTTCCCATATACATTGAGTTTAATAAGTCAAAAGTTTAGTGATCCCTACTGGTTGCTTAAACTTGGGAATACTGTTTGGGCATCCATAATCCTCAGTCTTATAAGCAAGTACCCTTAAGTCTTAGGTTTTGCACTTTTTTTTTTTCTCAGCTGTTACTGACATCTCAAGCAGATGAAATTCTGTTCTCAGTGTGTTGTTGGTCTTAGGTGTTTCTTAGATCCTTTGTTTGTTGTTCAGTCTTTTGGACTCTAGCATGAAATGTAAAAAACAGTCGTATGGATGTTTTCCTTTTCCTTTCGTGAGGAAAGGATGGTAGACAACAGTCAGTTAAAACCAGTGACACAAAAATGAAAGAAAGCAATTGTTACAGTAGGTATAAATGTTTTCTATATCATTCATGAAAGTACGTTTAATTTTCTTATGCCTGTTTTTGCAAGTTTAGTGTGGATATTACTTATGAGTAGCTTTGTTACTATACTGTCTTTTCCTTCTAATCATCACTAATATGACATCATCACAATTGTTTGTTTTGTTTTCTGATGGTACCTTAAGTCTTGAGCTCTAGAGAGGAGAGCATGTGTCAGACTTAAAACTCTGTCTCTGTAGCTCAAGCACACAAAAAACTGTCTGTTTAGGATAATGCTTATGTGATATAATAATATTTTCTTAGTACTATCACCATAGAGGGCACTGGTTTTCCCTAGAGAAGCTTAGTAAAGTACCTCTCAGCATTTTCCAAACTCTACCTACCCACCCCCTCTCCTCACCTCAGGTCTTCAGAGTGTGGCTATTGAAACTGTCGAAAATAGAGTGTTAGAAAGATACACTCCAGAATGATAGCTTTTTCTATGGGAAATGAGATGATGGGTTATTTATTTATTTGGGTCACATGTATATTTCAAGTGAACATGTAATAATTGTATAATGAACATAAGTCACACAAAAACAAAAACATTCTCCTGGAGAGAAGTAAAATACTATCAATTTGGGCTGGCACACTAACGGAGAGGTCCAAGAAATACTTAAATTTAAGTGATGTGATATTTGAGAGGTCTCTTGTTCATTTTCATGAAAATTTTCTTCTTAATTTGATTTTTATGACTTAAAGATGGTCATGAAACTACAGTGATGGAATAGAAGTATGATCCAGATTAAGTTCTCACTTTAGAAATGAGGAAAACTGAGCTTTTTTAAGGGTTCCCTGCTCATTGGTAATGAAACCATTATAGAAGCCAGATCCCCTGACTCCCAGGCATTACTCTTTTAATGCCACGCCAACTGCCACTTAAAAACAAATTTTCTGAGACTCAGCCTCTTTTCTCCCCCTCCCATTTTTATTCATGGGCTCTGCTAACCTACCTATCTTTGTTTTCTACAGAATTCTCCTTCTGAAGCACAGAATTTAGATGAGAATACAACTGAGGGATGGGAAAATCGGATAAGACTATGGACTGATCAGTATGAAGAAGCTTTCTCTAATCAATACAGTGCAGATGTACAGAATGCCCTTGAACAACATCTACATTCTAGCAAGGAATTTGTGGGCAAACCTGCTATTTTAGACACTATCAATAAGACTGAATTGGCCTGCAATAATACAGTTATTGGTTCCCAAATGCAGGTAAGGATAAAAGGATTAATAGCTCAAAGTAGTTGATTTTAAGAACTCAGGAAGAGGGTTTATTTTGGAATTACCATATCTTTCAAATTTACAAGGACTTAGAGCAGTGGTTCCCAACCTTCCTAATGCCACAACCCTTTAATACAGTTCCTCATGTTGTGATGACCCCAACCATAAAATTATTTTCATTGATACTTCATAACTGTAATTTTGCTACTGTTGTGAATCGTAATGTAAATATCTGATATGCAGGATGTATTTAGGCGACCCCTATGAAAGGGTCGTTCGACCCCCAAAGAGGTCGCAACCCACAGGTTGAGAACCGCTGACTTAGAGCATCTTTAACCAAAAGCAGGTTATAGTTGCCCTAGCTGATTTGCTTTAGTGGTTAGAGTGTCGACCCGCCAGCTGAATGGTCGCATGTTCGATTCTGGGCAAGGGCACACACTTCAGTTGCAGGCTGGATCCCTGGCACCAGTCGGGGCACATGCAGGAGGTACCCAATCAGTGTGTCTCTCTCACGTCGATATTTCTCCCTCTTGTCTCCGCTCTCCCCTCCACTCTCTAAAAATCAGCCCGGCGGGCATAGCTCAGTGGTTGAGCGTCTGCCTATGAGCCAGGAGGTCATGGTTCAATTCCTGGTCAAGGCACATGCCTGGGTTGTGGGCTCTGTTCCTAGTGTGGGGCGTGCAGGAGGCAGCCAATCAATGATTCTCTCTCATCATTGATGTTTCTCTCTCTCTCTCCCTCTCCCTTCCTCTCTGAAATCAATAAAAAATATATTTTTTAAAAAATCAGTAGTGGTTGGGGGGAGTTACAGTAACTGGACACTATTCAGTTACATATTTTTAGACTATCTTGATTAATTAAAAATATATAAATTAAGATAGGAAATTTTATGCAGCCTCAGTAGGAATTATTAAGCTTAATAGAAAGCTAGGCTCTCTCTCCCCTCCCCCCATTTTTATATTAGACATAGACCACTAAAATCATAATTATGCATTTTTCTTGGATTTTTTTTTTTTTAATATATTTTCATTGATTTCAGAGAGGAAGGGAGAAACAGACAGAGAAAGAAAGATCAATGGTGAGATAGAATCATTAATTGGCTATTTCCCCACAAGTCCCCTACCGGAGAAGAACCCAGAACCTGGGCATGTGCCCTGACTGGGAATCAAACCATGACCTCCTGGTTCATAGATCGACGCTCAACCACTTAGCCCTTCTGTCTGGACTTGTATCTTTTCTTGATGTCATTGGGCCAAAATTAAGCTGTGAAGGTGTGAGGGAATGTGGCAGGTTCACTACATGGAATCCTTTTCCTAGAAATACTGACCTTTCATCAACTTAGAAATTTCTGATCATAGCCCTAGCTGGTTAGCTCAGTGGATAGAATGTCAGCCTGCAGACTGAAGGGTCCTGGGTTCGATTCCTGTCAAGGACACATGCCCAGGTTGCGGGCTCAATTCCCAGATGGCGTGCAAAAGGCAGCCAATCAATGAGTCTCTCTCATTGATGTTTCTCTCTCTCCCTCTCCCTCCTTCTCTAAAAATCAATAAAAATATATGAAAAAAAATTTCTGATTATTGAGCTAAATAATATATACAAATACATCCTAAAAGCATTGGTGTTTTTTCCTCAGTTAGGAAATGTTGTCCACACTAGAGGCCCGGTGCATGAAATTTGGGAGGTGGGGGGTCCCTTGCAGTCCAGGACCCCTCAGGGGACCCGTCACTCCTTACCGCCTGTCTGCTCACTGGTCCTTACCACTCAGCTCGCCGCTCCTTAATGCTGCCACGGAGGCAGGAGAGGCTCCCGCCGCCACCACTGCACTCGCTAGCTGTGAGCCTGGCTTCTGGCTGAGCGGCGCTCCCCCTGTGGGAGTGCACTGACCACCAGGGGTCAGCTCCTCTGTTGAGTGTCTGCCCCCTGGTGATCAGTGTACATCATAGCAACTGGTCATTCTGGTCATTTAGCCGTAACAGACGCTTAGTCTTTTATTACATATAAGATGCTGCTGTTGTTGCTATCTAGTTAATACTCTGGTTTTATTCAGCTACAGTTGGGAAGAGTCACTCGTGTTCAAAAGCACCGGAAGATCCTGAGGGCTGCACGAGATTTGGCTTTGGACACTCTTATAATAGAGTATCGAGGGAAAGTCATGTTACGACAGCAATTTGAGGTCAATGGGCATTTCTTCAAAAAGTAAGAATATCATTTTGTGAGCAGTGAGGGCTAAAGGGGGCCTGGCTGAGCCATATCGCTATAAAAACCTTTCTGGTTGATAGGATACTCTCTTGGGGAAAAGATTACAGCTCAAAAAATCTCATTCATGTCTGCCGTTGTTAGAGAAGTGTTAATAAGTCTGCAAACTGTTTAATGTATAAAGTGGCAATGACTCCAGGCCAAGCATTCCTTGCTTTGTGCTTATTCTTTAATCAAAAGCAGACAAGCATGTGATATTTTCCAAGTGTAGGCATTGCAAAAGACTACTGCTGCTTCTGTCAGCATGTGCTTTATATTTGAAATCAATGGGGTGGCCTTTTTATTTGTGTTGAGAATTATAGAAATTTTTAATTATATCCCTAGACCATACCCCTTTGTGCTCTTCTACTCAAAATTCAATGGTGTAGAGATGTGTGTGGATGCACGTACTTTCGGTAATGATGCTCGGTTCATCAGAAGATCATGTACACCAAATGCAGAGGTAAGATTTCTGTAGCAACTTCTCTTTTAATGGAATCACCAAAGAATAGAATAAGTTTATTGAAGAAACAATCTGAAAACTTCACCCAGGTTAAAGTCTGTAGATAATGGTTACGATCTTTAGTAAAAGGCGAAAGATTTATATGATCTGAAGAGAAACCAGAGTATGGTTACGATCTTTAATTGTAAAAGAGAGACAAAAACAAAAGTAATGATGCTTTTATTCTGACAGGATGGGGGCAAGGAATGAATTCTTTTTAGAGAGGAAGAAGTTGGAAAGGCATTTGTTAAAGAGAAAGAGCTAGACTGGATAAGAAGTCAAAGAGTTGATAGTAAAGAAGTTACCATACAGTAGAAGATGTCATTGGGTCCAAACTAATCTGTATGGTTAATAGTGCTTCTAGACATTTTTAGAATTGATTAATCAGTGCAACCATATCAAATAAAGCAAGAAACTCCACAGGAGTTTTCTTACAGGCTAAGGAATTTTAATTCTCTGAAAACAACTTTAATATATAAAATAGTTGTTGTACTTTGATTTCTAACATCTCGAGGTTTATTGAAGCATCATACATTTTCAAACAGTTACTATATAATAGTTACAAATGAAATGATAGAGTTAAGACTACTATAACTCTAACTGGGGATATATTATTTGTATAAAACGTTTTTTTTCTTTTGGAGAATTTTTGGTCTTTGTGATAAATCATCAGTCATAAGTGCTATTCACACAGGTGCGACACATGATTGCAGATGGGATGATTCACCTGTGTATCTATGCTGTGTCTGCTATCACCAAGGATGCTGAAGTCACCATAGCATTTGATTATGAGTACAGTAACTGGTAAGACTTCTAAAACCTTTCCTAACATGAATGACCTTATCTTACATATTAAGCTATTAGGTCTGCTTTTGTTCCTAAACATTTTTCTCTTTTTTAACTAATCTGTTCACAAGTATTGCATTTTTCTGCTTAGAAATTCTGGAGGGAGGGAGATTTTGGGCGTTTTTTGTTTTGTTTGTTTTATGAGACATAAATACATAGTATTAAACTGCTCAATAGTGTGCTAACCAAATGTATTTTAGTTTATACCTTTATAGCAAGAATAGCAAAAAATGGGTATGTATGACATTCCTGAAAATTGAGACAGCATCAGTTCTATGCACACAGCAGTTATGCCAGGGGTCATATAGAATGAGAATTTAAAGGTTCACCCCATCCACTCAAATCATGTAATCTAGTTATATATGACAATACAGAAAAACAGAAATGCAAATCACAGATGAATATGTGATGGGTTTTATAAAATGGATGATTTTTCTTCCATGGTCCTTTTAGGCAAAAAAGGTTATAGATAAATTGATGTTTGGCACATGTATAATAAAAGGTATTAATAATAAGTAGGGCCCTAACCAGTTTGGCTCAGTGGATAGAGCATCAGCCTGTGGACTGAGGGGTCCCGGGTTCAATTCCAGTGAAGGGCATATGCCGGGGTTGCGGGCTTGATACCCAGTGTGGGGTGTGCTGGAGGCAGCTGATCAATGATTCTCTCTCATCATTGATGTTTCTATCTCTCTCTCCCTCTCCATTCCTCTCTCTGAAATCAATAAAAATATTTAAGAAAAAATAATAATAATAAGTAGGGAATTAGTGGGTAAAAAAGTTAGTGGTGGATGTAGACACAAGATAAGTATAGCCACTTTAGAATTTTTCACTGATTCATTGCTCACTCAGTAGCATAAAGACAGTTGGGAGAATTGAATTTAGTGGGGGCTTTCTTTTCTTTCCATTGACCATAGGTCAGTGGGAAAAGTTGGGGTTCTGTAGACACACAGAATATTGAAAGTACTCATAGGACTCTCTAATGTCTCTGTTTAACTTAATCACACATAATACCAGAAGAAATTACTGTAGTAATATTTTAAGAGAATGAATGGGTAATATAACTGATTTTCAAGGTTACTGAGACAGGCACTTTTATTTGTTTCTTTGGAGCAGTAATTATAAAGTAGACTGTGCATGTCACAAGGGGAACCGGAATTGCCCTATACAGAAAAGGAATCCCAATGCTGCAGAACTGCCACTCCCACCTCCTCCAAGCCTACCCATTGTTGGAGCAGAGACAAGACGGAGAAAAGCACGGCGGAAAGAGCTAGAGATGGAGCAGCAGAATGAGACTGTAGAGGAGGATACCAACCCACAAGCAGAACAAGTTCCTGCTGAGAAAGTGACTGTATCCAGTGACCATGAGGTAATGTTACTTGGCCAGAGGGTGTTACTATGGTATTGATCATCTCCAAACGAAGAGGATCTCAGGTTGACACGTGTTTTATGTAGGGATCTATAGTAACACTTAATGCCCTTCATATCAAGGTGGGTGCATGTTCATTCGTTCCATTCATTCTCTCTTTTTTAAAAAAATAATTTTATTGATTTTGAGAGAAAGAAACATCGATGTGAGAGGGAAACATTTATTGGCTGCCTCCTGCACACCCCCTACCAGGAATCAAGCCCAAAACCTAGGCCTGTGCCCTGACTAGGAATTGAACTGGCAACCTTTTGGTGCACGGGACAACGCCCAACAAACTAAGCCACACTGACTAGAGCCTCTGTTTTTTTAAACGATGTCAAGAATATCCTTTTAGCTACTTTCCAGGTTTTAGTCCAGAGAATGGGGCTTGTCTGTGTTTACCATGTGGCCCCACATGAGTAACACTATCAAGCACTAGAAATTGTTTCTAGAGAGTTTTAAGCTACTGGGGGGGCAGGGGGTGATTTTTGTCCCAAAGCTTAAAAGTACAGCTAAATATTGCCTCTATCTTAAAGGAAATAGACAATCCAGAAGAAAAGGCAGAAGAAGAAAAAGAAGAGGTTACAGATGACCAGGAGAACCCAGCTCATAGCAGGAGGGTGGGTACCCCATAACATCCTTTTGTTAGAGCTGACTTCTACTACCTATAGTATGTGAAGCCCTTCTCTTCTGAGTTTGTATCATCTCATTTCTTTGACAACATACTATACCATCATCTGTACGTTGTAATTTGGATTTTTTTTTTCATAAAGTCAATTTCATTAATGTAGTAGTTGTCTAGTGCCTATTATCGATGATGGTCTTTAGAAACTTCTTACTAACAATCTCATTACCAAAAAACTATCTGGTCAAAACAAAATGTGTCTGTTGGGGCTATGTCCTCTAACTTAGAGGAATTTCCCTAAGTTTGAGTTTTGACATTTAAAAATCCCTATCAGTCATATGGATTCAAAACTCTTACTTTTTGCTGAAACCATCCATGTTTATTTTATTTTTTTAATATATATTTTTTATTGCTTTTTTACAGAGAAGAAGGGAGAGGGATAGAGAGTTAGAAACATCGATGAGAGAGAAACATCAATCAGCTGCCTCCTGCACACCCTCTACTGGGGATGTGCCCGCAACCAAGATACATGCCCTTGACCAGAATCGAACCTGGGACCCTTCAGTCCGCAGGCTGACGCTCTATCCACTGAGCCACACCATTTAGGGCATCCATGTTTATTTCTGTCCCTCAGAAGAAGTTCAAGAAAATCTACTTGGTTATTTTGACTCTGAAAATGCAGAGAAGTACTTGGTTTTCATGGCTATTATTCTTTTATATTAAAGTTTCAGGATAGCTGGCCTTGTTTGAAAAGTTAAGGTTTGACCTTCCTTTAAAATTCTAACACTTAAGTTAAATACTTTATTTTTAGTTTTTATGTTTTATTTTACAAGATACAGACAGTCCTCGGGTTACGTCGGACTCGACATATGTCGTTTCGTGGTTACATCGCCATCTCCCATTTATTTATAAAAAAAAAAAAAAAGTTCCGTCATTTTGACGTATATACACATGTGCTTTATGTTTTTTATTATTTATTTACCACAAGTAAAGGTCAGGAATTGTTGTCTTTCTTTTAAATTTTTTTTATTGTTTCACTTTATTACTGCTGTATATGTGCTCCATGTGAGTGACGTAGGTGCTTATGTAGGTGGGTTCCAACTTACGGCAAAAATCGCATTACATCGTGCCATAGGAACAGATCTCCGATGTAACCCAAGGACCTACTGTATATGTACTGATAGTTTTGTAAATGTCTATAAATTTTCATAAGTAATATTTCTGAAAAGCTGTTTCTCCCACCCCCCACCCCCCATGGTTGAAACTTCCTTCTATGCTAATGCTATGTGTTTTTTTTCTAGACCCGGGAAGATAGGAAGGTTGAAGCCATCATGCATGCTTTTGAAAACTTGGAGAAAAGAAAGAAGCGACGGGATCAGTCCTTGGAACAAAGCAACTCTGACATAGAGGTTACTACCAATGCCTCAGAGACAGCTGTAGGGGAAGAAACAAAAACTGAAACTCCTGAATCTGAAGTTAGCAACTCTGCTTCAAATGTGGCCATCCCAAGCACCCCACAGAGTATTGGGGTGAACACCCGAAGGTCTTCCCAAGCTGGGGTAAGAGAAGAAAAGACTCCAGCCTTTAACATCCTTGCTTTTGCTAATGTCAGTTACCTGGTTTTTGGAAATTGTTAAAATTTGAATTTTCAGTTTTATTTCATATTGCATTAAATAAGGCCATTTTCATCAGCTGTGGGGTACAGGGAGGCAGAATTGGAATGACCAGACACTTTAGACTAGAATGAAATGTCATATTGTTTCTGCCAGATAAACTCTTGGTGATGAGTTCATAAAAATTATTTGGTTTCTCTTTTGGTGCTTCTGTATAACACAGTCATGCAGCTGCCCTTTCATAGTATTCTCAGGGTAAACTCATGTTTCCCTTCCCTACCCTAGCCCTGAATTCTAAGCCTTAAGCTAAAACCTTAGTGTGCGGGAAAGAAACAAAGGAGAGAATTGTCTTTGCTAAGATCCCTAAAACTAGGTGGCTTCAGCTGACTTTTGACCTATTTTATAAATACTTACAAGAAGCTAAATAAATAAATAACCAAGGCATCTATCTACAGCCTATTTAGCTAATTTCACTATTTAACTTTTATAAGAATTACATTTGAAATTAGCGCTTCTAAGTGCTCGCTTTTTTTCACCAGTAAACATTCAGAATGCTTAAAGGGAATAGGGGGCTAGATGGAATGTTAGTTGATAAGAAATTTCTAGTAAGCATTTACTCTGCTGTTGTTACAGGATGTTGCTATAGAAAAGCCAGTCCCCAAACCACCTCCAGCAAAGCCTTCTAGGCCCCGACCGAAGAGTCGTATTTCTCGGTACCGGACCAGTTCAGCCCAAAGACTAAAGCGTCAGAAGCAGGCCATTGCACAGCAGGCAGAGTTGTCACAAGCTGCCTTGGAAGAAGGAGGAAATAACAGTTCAGTAACTCCTACTGAAGCTGGAAGTATAGACAGTTCAGGAGAAAACAGGCAATTAACAGGTTCTGACCCAACTATGGCATCAGTAACTGGATCCCATGTCAACCGTGCAGCATCTAAATACCCCAAAACCAAAAAGGTGAGTCATGAAAACATGTTCATAAGTCTAGTCTGGCAAGGGCTGTGTCTTAGTAAAGTGAGAGGACCTGTAATTCCCCAGAAAAAAAAACAAATACTCTAAATATTATTAAATTGAAAGTTTTAAATAAAATATTTTGACACAGAGGGCTGAAGCCATCTACTACAGTGCTTTTGTTCCCATAATTTTTGGGCAGAGGTAAATGCTGATATCTGGAATTATTCCTCCCTTGGTGGTCACAGAGAAGGTGAAGGAAACATCCTTGCATTTTGAATGCCCAATTCATTTTCTGCAGCTGCTGTATCTACCTGAGTCCTAGTTTCTAGATGAGGTTTGTCTATCATCTAACACTGCTGCCTCTGGCTTTTACATCTGCAGCGTCAACTAATGATCTCTTTTTGCTTTAGTATCTAGTTACAGAATGGTTGAATGACAAAGCTGAGAAGCAAGAATGCCCTGTTGAGTGCCCTTTACGTATCACCACGGACCCAACTGTACTGGCAACGACCCTGAACATGTTACCTGGTCTTATCCATTCCCCGTTAATTTGCACCACCCCCAAACACTACATTCGCTTTGGCTCACCCTTTATCCCTGAGAGGCGTCGAAGGCCCCTTCTGCCTGATGGCACGTTCAGCTCCTGTAAAAAGGTATGTCAATGTTTATTTTTAACCTAGGTTGCTTGCAATCCTAACATATCTAACACATTCTCCAGATAGCTACTCTCTGCCCATTTGAGTTTATTATGAGTTAATTGTTCAACCTTGAATACCAATGCATCAAAACTCAGTGGGACTAAGGTCGGATGTTGTATACTGCGTTGTTGGTGCTCAGTTTGTGAGTATTCATTATTGTCTTCAGAGAGCCCTTGAGGTTACTGAGTTGAGAGCGCACAGCATTTGATGCCTGGGAAGGGAGGGATGTTCTGTGTGTGCTCTTGTGGTATTGGTTAAAATGTCCATTTGTGATTTTGAGTGAGATTGGGCCCCAGGTACTCTAAAGTACTGTTGCATAAGTAAAAAATTATCGAATTGTGTTTTAAATTAATTCAGTCACTATTATCATTTGAATTAGAGTAGAGGAAATGTCCTATTACAATTGGCATAATTGTTGTTCCTTGATCAAATGACAAGTTGGATTGTTTATTCCCTAGTGAATATGGAAACTACTATAAATTCATTCTATCTCTTTCTCTTCCTGTCTCTCCTCTCTCTAGTTACATACTATTTTTGGATCTAGTGGCAGTAGTGTTTGAGTTGTTTGTTTTTGGAATGCTCTTTCTTAATTCCCAGAAGCCCTGAATATTTTCCAAAGGTGTCTCTCAGGAATAGATCATTGCCTCAGACTATAATGTCGTTTTTGTGTTTCTAGAAGTATAGGACACCCTTTCATTTGGTCTTCCTTTGAGGTAGTCTGTTCCCTGGAACACCCTTTTCTCTTATCCTCAGATCTGGATTCAGGCTGCCTTCCTCAGTGTCTGCCATTGCCCTCCTCCACTGGCATCACGTACATGAGGATGCTGCATGTAGATTATTTGATGTGATGAAGTCTCCAGCTCCAGGCAGGTCTTCCCTGACTCCTCCAAACTTAAAGCTTTTCTCTTTCCCCAAAGAGCAGCAATTATTTCTTGGGGGGAGGGGGGTTACGAAAGAAGAGCCAGAGTGGTGTGGGATATGGAGGGGAGGAGGGCAGCAGGGATCTGTGCACAAAGGAAGGGCCCTACCACCGAATGAGCAGTATACACTGAAGAAAGTCTTTTCCTAATCATACATCTTACCTACTAAGTATTTGAGTCACTTACTGGTTTATTTGGGGGAAATTCCCAAGTAGAACTAAAGTGCAATTTGACCATGAGATCTTTGCAAAATGGTTTGTAGATAATGCAATAACAGATTACTAGACTTCTAAGAATGTTAACTGTTGAAGCATCTTATCAAGCCAGATTGTAGAATCTCCTATTTTGGTCCTTTATGAAGGTTAGACAGTTATTTAGTACAGATTAATAGTGAAGTCTGAATTGTAAATAGTATAGACTAGCTTCTTGAAATGATGCCTTGATTATTCTGATGCTGGGTTATGGTCTTTCTATTCCCATCTTGCTTTTCCAACTAACAGAGTCCTGTGAAAACCAAAAACGTATAGAAATAAAACTTAAAATTTCATAGAAAATCTACTTCTTAGAGCTCTTTTTCCCAGGTTATGGTTTAGGGCTTGTATCTGGCTCATCTTTATATCTCTACTGGCAACAGATAGAAATCCCATTTAATTCATGTTCATGTTATATTCTCCAAATGTGTCTGTCTATCCTTAGTCTTGTTATATACAGGCTCTGCACAGGCACTTTTCATCTATGTGTGTCATACCAGTCTTCAGGAATTCAGGCTATGTACTCTGAATTATCATAGTAAAATTACCTTGCTTAAATTGGGTCTTATTCATTTAAGTTCAGATCTGAACTAAGTTCAAATCACAGCTTTAAGATTTGCTGTTGACATACCAAAATTACGTTACAAAACCAGAATGTAGTTTTTTATGGGGCAAAACTAATAAAATTGGGGCTTTTCTCTAGCAGTCAAACTCAGATTTATCCTGGGTGGGTATGAAGAAGAGTCATTTGTAGATTGGTTAGAAAGTATTAATCTAGTGCAGAACCTAAGATTTCTGTGATTAAACAGAGAAGAATGTAGGTTAAACAGGTAGATGAGAAAAACCATCCTCCTTGGGATTTAGTTGGAATAGTGTATATTATTAATAGGCCTAGAGTTTCATATCTAATTAAAGGAGGTAGAGGCCTCTTAAGTAAAAAAACAGCGTAAAATTGTATATGTGTATTTGCACCCAGACTTTTAGAGTATTTGACAGAATATTTTATGATCTCCCTGGAGTTTCTAAAGTAAATCAAATCATAGTTCTTAAAAAGCATGTTATGGTATGTATGTCTTTTGTTGGATCTTGCTTCACTTCTCATTTTAGAATGGAAGCATTTATAAGTGGCTAAGAAGTCTTTCAAGTAGTATCCTTCCTTGTTCTCTAAATCTTCTCTAAACTTACCTTGAAGGCATAATATATGTATGGCATTTGGTCTCCCGGATTTCTTAGAAAACCATCCTGACTGAAAAATGAAACACTGTGCTTTGCATTGATATTTCTTTGTATGCACTGGAAGGTTATTAATCTCTATCTCTATATATAGCATTGAAATTCAGCTGAACAAGTCCTCACTAATCATTTGTACTCAGTACTCTGCTACAAACTTTCTTCACATACAATATCTCACTTAGCCTACATGACAGCCCTGTGAAGTTGGGATTATTGGCCTCAATTTATAGATCAGAAGCTTTGACTTAGAGGGGTTCAGTAACTTGCCCAGAGTTAGGCAGCTAGTAAAAGGCATGGCCAAGTTTCAACACAGATCTTTGAACTAAAACCGAAGATACTTTCTTGCTCTTTATTCTTTAAAATATTTCTCCCTCTCATCTCTGAGCTTCCTAAAAAGTTCTGTAATACAGAGTTTTAAAGAAGGAAGAAATGTTCTTTTGACCTTAACCATAGCTGGGACTCAGGGATGGGGCTATCTAATGTTAATTTATTAGCTATAGGGGTGATTTGAACTTGTTAGATACAAATGTTCATGTTCCTTTTTTATGAGTCATAAAATAACTGTGTAGACATACAATAGGGCCAGGAGGAATAGGTTAGATCATATTTGCTGTGTCTGATCTTATATCCAACCATAGCAGCATCTTATTCCTTAGAATGCCCCTATCCTTGTTTTTATTTTTCCTTTTTTTGGTTATCAAATCCAGAATGTAACTTCTTTTATGCGTGCATCTACTTTTCTCTTGGAGGAAAGCACAGTAACCCCAATTAAGTCCTGTCATCTGCTCTGAAAAGAAAAACTTTTACTAAAGGTATCTATAATGAAGGATTTTACAATCATTTCCTCCTGATCCTAATTTTCTTCATCTGTACACTACGTGCTTTGGACAAGGGACTTCTAAGGTCTTCTCTAAGTCATAAGGAGTTGTGGTTCTGATAGTTCATCTTTACATCAATATTCTGTGTATAAAAGAGTTCATTCTTGGTCTTATTTGGGCTTTTCAGAGACCTGGTCATATTCTACAATGCTGATGTGATTCAATTGATTGTGGAGATCTTTTTATATTCTTATTCACTCTTTTCTCCTCATGTTTACAACTTTATTTTAGTTTTATTTGGCAGGCAGTCCACAATGCCATTTACAAGATACAAAATTTTTCTTGGTGAAATTTTCCTCACATTATTCCCTAGAAAATAATTGTTTCTTACGTTTCTAATCAGGTAAATCTATTAAAATTGCTCTCTTTAGTGAAGAGAATATTTACTTACCTGTAATACTTGTTCTCTAAAGGTGTGAAATTACAAACACCTTTGATTTTCCTATGGAGGTCCTACTCTGAAATTGATGTTTATCAAAATTCGATCTGTCTTATGTCAGGGCAGGAGAGCCACACAGTGGTGAGCAACCTACAACTGTGTATCTTAAGAGAACACAATTACAGGTAAGAAATTTTCTCTCTTCCACAGGATGCGTAGTTTTACAATCCTAATCTTTTTAGGCTTACTTCCTGACCTTAATTTATTTTTCATCATTTAGAGTCCAGTATTCACTAAAAAAAAAAAGTGGCTTTTCCCCTTTTTTATTTCTACAGATCATTTATTCTGGTTATTTGCATTATTTATGCATAATTTAACCAACTACTTGATAGGGAGAGAAAAATTAGCAGGATATTCCATCTGAGAGTAGACCTTTTAGAAGTATTTTGGTACCTGTTGTAAAGAGGTGTTCTTTTATCTTCCTTCTTGGCACTTATTTTATGTGCTACTTTCATCCTATATGATCAGTCTCTTAAATAAATGCTAAGATTTCTTCTTATCTCTTTCCATTTCCCCCATTCTAAGCAGTATGAAAAGTTGAGTAATCTTTTTTTATTGGTTTTGGTTTTTTAATGAGATCTCATTATGTGTAATCTAAGTTTTCTCAATTTTGCCCAGTAAAAGGAATTGATGGGTAATATTCCAATATGCTGAAACACAAGAAAGAAAAAAATATTTGACTATGGAACTGAATGAGTGTGTTGGATTGCATCTCTCGCCAGTTGATATGTAATGACCTGGTTAATGCATTTGAAATAGATATACTAATAGTTTTAAATAATTATTGATAATTTCCTGGTTCTTTTCCCATTATAGCGCTGGATAAAGCAGGCCTTGGAAGAAGGAATGACTCAAACATCATCTGTACCCCAAGAGACTAGAACTCAGCACCTATACCAAAGTAATGAAAATAGTAACTCTTCTAGTATCTGCAAAGACAATGCAGGTATGTATCTCAAACCTTTCTGAATATATGAGCAATGATTATTTCAGTATGAATACTGAAAAAGTCTGATACAAAAAGAAATAACATTGTTCTTTAAATAATTCCTTTCATCTGTCTTTACAGAGGAAGAGAGAGATCTCAAGTCAGGGATCATTTTTTCTAGGATGACAAAGTAGGAAATAGTGTACAGATAACAGCAGAGATAGTTATTTAAAAGTTAGATATATTTATCATAAAGAAAGTTAGATATATTTAAGCAGTAAGTTTAGGAAACCTTTATTCATATTTATAAAAGGAGAAGTAAGAAAGATGTGGGACACTATTCAGGAGTGAATCACAATTGTAGGTAATTGAGGTGGGTGTGGCTTGGTTGAAGGGTAAGTGGATGAATGAAGTAAACAAGAAATTATTAGAAATTGTTTCTTTTAAAAAGGGCTTGCCCTGTTAGCATCAAAATTTTTAGAAGACAACCTTGAATCTGATGTAAAGTCCTCATTTTTAAACTACAGCACCATGAAAAGTCATCCAATCCACTAGTTTTCACAGTGACTCTTGCAAGGGGTGTAATTGAATTGCCGTTGAAAGCACGGGTGCATGAACTTATGACACCAGCTTATTTTGGGACAGTCTTTTTACTGAAGTTTCTCCTAATATCACCTTAATTGAAAAGTTCTCTGTGATTTCCCTAAGTTTATCTCTATATCTCAGTTTTGGTGGATAATAAGCAGTTAAAATAAAATATCAAGATAAATTACATGCTAAAAGTCATCTAAGCCTGCAGTTAGCATGATATTTCAGATTTTCATAAAAATTACTTCATTGTTTCTTTTCATTGACCTGCTGAGTAAATACAAAATTGTATTAAGTAAGTGCACTTATCTGCTAATATCTGCTTTATGTTAAAATGTTGTATAATGTATTGGGGGGAAAATATGCCGCTAAAAATGTATTTTCAAATTATTGACTTATTTTATTCTATCTGTAGATTGTATTATACCTTATAAATTATCACATGCATAACCCCGGGGTAATAAAATCCCAGTGTGGAACGTGTAGAAGATAAATAATACCATGTATTTAAAATATTTTACTTATGTACTATGGAGAGTTACTCAAACCAGATTAATGTAAAAAAATGCTGGTACCAGATTTCTATCTATATTATCAATTTATGGTAGCTTTTATAGTACAGTAACTATATAACTTAACTGAAATCTTCTGTCTAGTATACATTTGAAATCTGCCTAATGCACATTTTTATTTGTGTGATGTGTGTGTGTGTTAAGTGTGTACATATTTAAGATTGGGAAAGTGAGGTTGTATAGTATCGTGTCCTGACTGACAAAGACATAGGGAAAGTGCCTTGGTTACTATATACATTATTTGGAATGGAATTAGGACAACTAGTCACCAACCTTTATTGAACGTCTGCTCCTGTCTCTAGCAGTGAGGAACATACAAATAATACACCTTGCCTTAATAATGAGCAATATAAACAAAAGGAAAATAGTCATTTAAAACCAAGCTAGTCAAAAAAAAAACAAAAAAAACCAAGCTAGTCAAATGGGTGACTTGGTATATTGCTACAAGTTAATGTAAATTCCAAGGAATTATTTTTATTTGTTAGTTTCAGGGTTATTTGTTTCCCAAAAAGACCAAGGAGATATTAATGAAGAAAAGGAGACAGTTTGGTATAGGTGAAAGACTCCCAAAAGACCTGAATTTGAGACCAGCCCTACCCTTTACTAACTATATGATAATTGGCAAGTTACTAAACATCTCTTAACCTCATCTGTAAAATGGGAATAGTAATATCTCCTTCAAAGAACTAATAGATTAAATTAAATGATATGTATAAATTTCTTAGTGCAATACCAGACCCATAATTACTGTCATTATTCTGTACAAAATATTCATTCTTCTGAAACACTTACAGAAATTAGTCAGATACTATAATAAATTAACAGTTCTAAGTTCCTAAAAACTAAAGTCATATAGAAATGAAAGTTATTACTACTCAGCTTTGGGCAAGTGTAATGTTCATTATTTATAAGTGATAGGGATATATACCTAGAAAAGCCTAAATCTACTGAAAAGCTTAGAATTAAACTCTTGTTTAATAAAACTGCAGGATAGACAATATACAAAAATTAATAGCATTTATGCACTAAGAAAATTAATAAAGAAAAGTTTTTATTCTCAAACTTAACAAAACTAAGAAACTTCTTAGGAATAACATTAGTGGAGCATGTGGAGCAAACCATTGCTGAAATTTTTGTTGCTGTTGTTGTTATACTTATTTCTCACCTGAGGATGTTTTTGTTGTTGTTGATTTCTTATCCTAATATATAAAAACCCAGGGTCCATAACGACCGACCGAAGGCTCGACCGAACACTAGAAGTCAGTACTGCAGTCCTGACTGCTGAGGGGGCTGCGGATTAGGCCCGGAGAGAGGCAGGGTCTGATCCGCAGCCTCCGTGTCAGCTATTGATCAGCCGTTGCCTCTCTTTCTCCAGGCTTCGCCAGTAGCCACGCCTCTGTTTCTCTCCGAGCCTCTGCGGAGGCTGCTGATCAGCCCTGCCTCTCTGATCAGGCCCGGAGATAGGCCCGGAGACACTGACTGGCAAAGAAACCGACCAGTCATTACCAAACCTGGGTGAACTGTGAGAAGCCATTGGCTGCCTAGGAGGCAGAGCTTTTGACGCTGACTGGCATAGAAACCGACCAATCAGAACCAAATTGGCCGGCTTGAGAGGGCAGTTGGGGGTGAGATCAGGCTTACAGGGGAGGGCAGTTGGGGGCAACCAGGCCGACGGGAGGGCAGTTGGGAGTGATCAGGCAGGAAGGCAGAGGGGTTAGGGGTGATCAGGCAGGCAGGCAGAGGGGTTAGAGGTGATCAGCCAGGTAGGCAGAGGGGTTAGGGGCAATCAAGCAGGCAGTCAGAGCAGTTAGGGAATAATCAGGCAGGCAGGCAGGCAGGTGAGCAGTTAGAAGCCAACGATCCCAGATTGCTAGAGGGATGTCTGACTACCGGTTTCGATCAGGCCTAAACCAGCAGTCGGACATCCCCCAAAGGGTCCCCGATTGGAGAGGGTGCAGGCTGGGCTGAGGGAACCACCCCCCCCCCTCCATGCACGAATTTCATGCACCGGGCCACTAGTAGAGTTATAACTTTATAGAGTTACCATCAAACTATCGTGTTTTGAAATTTGATTAAGTTATATTGAGGTTTATGTTTAAAAATAAGCATGAAAACAGCCAAGAAAAATAACTGAAAAAGAATAATGAGATATATTTTCCCTAGAATTGTGAAACTAGCTTCTAATATGAAGCTAGACACTAATAATTAAATTAGTATAGTACCGATCCAAGAATGGATTCATATATAAATACTAGAGGCCCGATGCACAAAAATTTGTGCAAGAGTAGTCCTTCCTTCCCCCGGCTGCCAGCACTGGCTTCCCTCTGGCACCCGGGACCTGGGCTGCTTCACTCTGGTCCCAGCTTCACATTCGGTCTGATTAGCATATTACCCTTTTACTATTATAGATGGAACAGAATAGTCGGAAACAGGCCTTATATATATGAAAGATGTAAATTATTCTGGAATTTGGAGGGATTTAAAAGAATTAGATTCTTTCCAATGCAAATTCGGACACATTCAAATTTTTCTTAAATCAAACTTGTATAAACAATGTTTCTGTTTCTATATTGTCTCTGAATTAACAGGGGATAAATATATTGGGAGAAAGGATTTGCAGTAAAAATGACAGTATTATCCCTACTAGCAATGAGAGAGGAACATCATTGACTGGCTGCCTACTGCACGCCCCCTACTGGGGGATCAAGTCCAAAACTCGGGCATATGCCCTGACGGGAAATCAAATTGTGACCTCTTGGTTCCTGGATCAGTTGATGCTTAACCACTGACCCATACCGGCTGGGTAGGAGATGAATATTTTTATTTATTTTTTTTTTATTTTTTTTTAAATATATTTTATTGATTTTTTACAGAGAGGAAGGGAGAGAGATAGAGAGTCAGAAACATCGATGAGAGAGAAACATCGACCAGCCGCCTCCTGCACATCCCCCACCGGGGATGTGCCCGCAACCCAGGTACATGCCCTTGACCGGAATCGAACCTGGGACCCTTCAGTCCGCAGGCCGACGCTCTATCCACTGAGCCAAACCGGTTTCGGCAGAGATGAATTTTTTTTTTTTTTTTTTTAAAAAATATATTTTATTGATTTTTTACAGAGAGGAAGGGAGAGGGATAGAGAGTTAGAAACATCGATGAGAGAGAAACATCGATCAGCTGCCTCCCGCACATCTCCTCCTGGGGATGTGCCCACAACCCAGGTACATGCCCTTGACCGGAATCGAACCTGGGACCTTTCAGTCTGCAGGCCGAGGCTCTATCCACTGAGCCAAACCAGTTAGGGCAGAGATGAATATTTTTAATGCCTATGATAAATCTTACCAAATTGCTAGTAGGGATAATACTGTCATTTTTACTGCAACTCTTTTCTCCCAATATATTTGTCCCCTGTTAATACAGAGACAATATAGAACAGGCTGTTTTGATTATAGATTGAAAGACAAAAATCACATGATCGTATCAGTGGATGCAGAAAAAGCATTCAACAAAATCCAACACCTATTTTTTGATAAAAACTCAGAAAATTTCATATATGGCAAACCTACAGCCTACTTAATGGGCAAAAATTAAAACCATTTCCTCTAAGAACAGGAACAGGACAGGGATGTCTGCTTTCACCATACTTATTCAGCATAGTACTGAAAGTCCTAGCCATAGCAATCAGACAAGAAGAAAGCATAAAAGGCATCCAAATTGGAAAGGAGGAAGTAAAACTCATTATTTACAGGTGACATGACATGATATTGTACATAGAAAATCCTAAAGCTCAACTGGCATGGCTCAGTGATTGCGGCGTGTTGACCTATGAACCAGAAGGTCACTATTCAATTCCCCATCAGG